GAGTATGTGTGGCAGTCAGTCACCGCACCGGTGTGGATATTTACTGTACTTCGCAATCACAGATTCTAGCCTACGTCTTGGAATATGACCCAAATAAGAATTTTCACCGTATATTGCCATCTGAACAAGTAACAAGTCTGTCACATTTGTTCTGACCAACTGAGGAAAAAAGCATTACAATAAATCTCGCTAGCACCCAATGGTGATTAAATCTAAAGATCGGTTAGCTCATATCACATCAAACCGTTCAAATTATTATTAGTTATACTTTATTCTCAAATGATTGATGTTAACAACATCAGCATTGGTGACTATAGTGTGTATTAGCGTGTAGATTTCAATTTCTGCACAGTTTAATCTAATTGTCATACTCTTCGAATTTCATATTAATAAGAAATTATTTTAACCCAAAAAGCAAATTATGCTCCCTTCGAACTGGTTTTCTTTCAAATATAAATTTTTGTAATCCCAGGCTATCTTTAATCAGAAGTACATTAATAACTGGAATATAATTTAATTTCATTCACATGTGTTTCATAAACGCATAGTTCTTCCTGGATTACAATCCGCCATCAAAATTATCCATTTAATTATTCCGGCTGCTGTGAGAAAAGGCTATAAACGATCGCCACCTGCAGGATCCTCACATGCGGTAGCCTAGTAGCCGGGACAACTTCTTTATTTTTACAGACATGACGTAATGACGCAGTGCCATGCTCCAATTTCCCGCGAAAACCTACCCGTACCACTCAAATTACAAAACATTACTATAAACTAACCTTTGTGAATCGAGCTAAAGGCGATAGTTTTGAACACTGACTGGTTATGTGAGTGCTCAAATATTGATTTCGGATCATTTTTAACTAAAAAAAAGTTACGGACTGCAGCTTTAATTTTCTGCAGCAATTAGCAAATGTATACATTTATCTGTGAATCTGACTTTTTCAGATTTGTTCTAATCCTCTATAATCTGTATACATTTATTTATTTTTAATTACACAACTATGGCCCAGTTTCATAGACAGGACTTAGCCTAAACCAGGGTTAGGCCATAGTTCAGTTAGGACATTTAAGTAATTTTTATAAACATGCCTTACACAAAAGCATTACCGGTGTGCATTATAAGACAAAACAAAGGCACTGACATGTTTTAAGATCAGTCAGTGCAAGTTTCTTTCTGTTGAAACAGCTCAGATTTACATTTTAGTTTAGGACTAGGCTTAAGCCTAGTCCTACATTTTACACATGCAAGATTAAATAATTTACTTTTCGTCTCCAGTCGTGAGTTTATCTGATTTTCGTCCGTCATCTTTTCTGAATCTGACAACAGAAAGATGAGGAGTACGCCACAGGTGAACGTCGTCAATGCCAGCATAATTCCCGCCACAACAGCCCAGGCTCTGAGATCCGACACGTTCTTCCCGCCAGCGTGTGAATTTAAACGCAAGGCGCGCGTCCTCACGACAGTAACTGCCAGGATTCAGAGGTTGAAGACAGCAGAAAAAAGCCCGCGCTTACTCAGGTTGTCATAGCAGCCTAACCGTTCGCTCTCTATCCTACGAATTTTTCAATCAACAGACGGGCGATAAAAACGACCTATTTCGACCAAAATAATATAACCTTAAACACATTAAAAACGATCTGTCTTCTGTAATCTTTCGCTCATGTTGTGTCTAAAGAGCTCAATTCAGCCGACTGTACATACGGACTTCACATTTTCACACAGAAACTATTCCTCAGGACGGCCAGGAGGATGGTAAGTTAACTCTATTGGTTGTTGTGAGTCTTCACCCGTCTAAACTGTTTAATAGAGCTGCTGTTTTTTTTGTTTTTTTCAAAGTTTTTATATAAGTATAACAGCACATAGCAATTAAATAGCACATATAGTATCTGGCTAATTTGAGCTTTCTTATTAAAATAATGTGGTTTCAGCAGCCCACAAATTGAGCACCATCCACAACGTGTGAGGCATAACGCAGATTACCACAGAGGGGAAAAAAGTTATTTTGAGGAACAACATTAACACTAATACAGTAATACACTAAATCTGTCTGTTACAGGATGGATCATGGTCTAAAAGGCAAATTGCTAATCATTATTTTGTCACCAATGTTGTCGACAGAACTTGTATTAAAGACAGAAAGTCATTAACGCATTCATTTATAAACTTTGAATAAAGTCAAAAATGTAAGCTCCAGAGAGACAAAATCAAATGACTGGTTGAAAACCTCAGCAAGCAGGGACACAGACAAATAATTCAAAGTGGTAATATTTTATAAGGAAACTTTATGTGTGCATGTGAAATTCACTTTTCATCTCGAGACAGAAAGCAGTTTTTGCAAATTTCCAGTACAGCAGATAACGCTTGATATTAAAGAGTACAAAAGAAAAAGAAAAAAATCAGAATTCCAAATGCTTTTATTCAACTTTGCAGACGTAAGGGGAGGCTTTTGGTCCAAGTCTGTTCAAATCTTATGAAGCCCATCTGACCAACCCTTTTCCCTCCCTCTACCCTTAATTTGTTCTCACTTGAATTCAACACTTCCGATTGCAAATCACCCCCGCCGTTCATTACAGAGCATGTTGGTTCTGGATACACGATTGCATAGATTTGATAAACAGTAATTGAATGTTAATTAAGACATAATGGAATGTTCATTAAGACTTCAGCTCTCTCACTCCTTCCCCTCAACCTCTAGAGCTGTACATTGTGTCCCTGCCCCTCCCTATAGAAAGAGAAAAACGAGTGTACAACAAAAGGAAATGAAAAAATGAGTGGGAGAGAAAGCAACCTGCAACTACCAGGCACATTTTTACTTAATTCTTACTATATAAAATTCTCTTTTCCACTGTTGATTCAGCAGCTGTGTAGTCATAGGCTCTAGTGGAGGGTCACTACAAGGCTATGCTGCTCACATCACCACTGAAGCTCTTACACGGACATTCAGTAATATCTGAGAAACAATTAGAGATGGATGGCAGATGGACATTAATTACAGTTAATAAATCCTTAAGGAACATGTCTACTTGAGTCAGGGAGTCAATAAGAGAATGCTGTATGGTTGATTGGGGAAGGAAAACAAGAAGTCGACTAGGTATTTTTGTAGCTTCATTCTTCAACCCCTCAAAAAACAGACCTGTAGCTACCTAAACCTGCCTACAGTACTCCGCAGGGGTGAAACTGCTCATTTTATAATCTTTGCTTATGACCTGAAGCCCAGTGTGACTGCCATGGGTAGTCCGACAGTTCTGTGTACTGGAAAATAAGTATGTACAGCGTAGAATCCCGCTAACTCAAAATAGCTGGAGAAGAGAGAAATAAAAAGGGAGGAAAAAGCTGAGGTTTGATTTTCAAAGAGTTCCATTGATCCAGCAAAATGGGTTAAGAGGGCATGTCACAAATTCTCTATCAAAACACTTGAGTCGTTCTCTCAATTTTCCTACGATATGCAGCCTTGCTATATGCCAAATAACATTCAAATGCCAAACCAAACCTCCCACCCCACCAACTCTAGCAAGAAAACAACTAAATTAAAACAAAGAAAATAGCAAGTTAACTGGAAAAGCTTGGGCTCTCCCCCCCCTCCCGGGGTAGAGGGTGCAGGTTAAGTGTTTAGGCATAGACTGCAGCCAAAGCTGATTCTTTAAGCTCTCTTTAGTTCCATCCCATAATAACCTAGTAGATTTAATTGATAATTAATAATTGTTCTAATTTAACCATGCCAATGGCTTAACACTAACTGTCTTTACAGGTAACTGCTGGTGAGAATTCACTAAAAAGCTGTGAAAACATTGAGTTCTTTCATAGTATGCATGTCATTTTAAGAGGAAACGGAAGAAGATTAAAGAACCTGAACTGGGGCTACAGTCCAAGGCCACACACCCTCTTCCCTTGACACTGAATCTGCAATATTAAACTTCTCTCTTTCCTTCCATCCTACAACTTTCCTTAAGTTCTCCAAGACTGACATGTTTAACACGGAATCAAAAGGTTATCCCTCAATGTGTGGCAAGCTTCATCAACAGTTATTTGCTCTTCCCACAATGCCATGGTAACCCCCTTCCCCCAAACCTCTATCCCCCCTCCCCCTCAGGTGTGCTATGAAGTCCCATTTCCAACACTCTTAAATATCTTCCTCTTCCTCAGGAGCACTGATCTCTTTAAGGACTAGATGGTTGAGAGAAAGACAGATGCGGCTCCATCCAGCGCTCTCATCTATCTAGTCTGTGAGAAGATCAGCACTGATGCAGGAGAGAGAACTGCTCTGGAGTTCTGGAGTTAGCCCTTAGAGGTCGCTCTCCCCATACAGGGCGGTGGAGAAAGACATGTAGTCAAGAGCACCCGGCACCGCGTCGGGGCCCGTGTATGGTGCCATTCGGGCAATGCAGTACTCTGCCTGGTCAGGAGGAAGCTCACGCCTCAGCTCCTCGGCTGTGATGTAGTTCTGAAAAGGAGAATAGATGGGGATAGGTTGAATTCCCATACAACAAGAACTCTGAACACTTTAGACGGACATCCTGGCATGCATATTCTTACCTTGTCTCCGGCTAGGATCTTAAATGAGGCGATGACTTGGTCTGCGGTGTCTGTGTCGGTTGTTTCCCTTGACATGAAGTCGATGAAGGCCTGGAAGGTCACTGCGCCACTGTTGTTGGGGTCAACAATGCCCATAATACGAGCAAATTCGGCATCACCCTGAAGAACAGAGGTTAGAGGTTAACCCAGATAAACCGTGAGGAGAGTCATGAGAATCAAAGTTAGATACCATATTTGATGCAAATGAAAATGAGGCTGTAAGAAATTGGCATACAGATGGTTCAATGCATTCATTTTAAGACTTGTCACCTGAATGGTAAACGCCAAAGTGCACAGTAGTACAACCCATTGAATGCGAACTTTACATCTATCCTTCAGCCCCATTTTCATTTGATCCAAATTAATACTGCATCGAAGGTGCTTGCCTGTGATCTATTACGGGGTGGCCAACACTGGTTCTGGACAGCCACAGTCCTGCAGAGTTTTGCTTCAACCTTGATAAAAACACTTTCTGTATCTTTCCAGTAACCCTTAGACCTTGATTAGGTGTGTTTGATTAGGGATGGAGTGAAACTCTGCAGGACTGTGGCTCTCCAAGACCAAAGTTGGCCACCCCTGGTATATTAGAAATAGAATCTATTCAGTTAACTTTTTTTAACTTAAAATATAAATAAAAAATATAAAAAGTAACCAATGATATTCGACAAAAATAATTTTTTAACAGCAAGCAAAAGCAGGAGTTCAGGAGAAATTGTGTTGCTGTAGATTGAGAAAGGAGGTAGCAGTACCAGGCTGTTCCCAGTGGAAATGAGCAGTGCGCGGAAATCGTCGCCATCCATTATCCCCGTGCGCTTCTACAGTTTGCAAAGGGAAGGATGAGAAGAGAAACAGGAAGGATGCATGTGGAAAGCAGAGAATTTGAGGAGATGAAGAGGTTGTACGCAAACGGAAGAGTTTGATAGAGGAATCAGAATGAGTTTGTACAGAAGACAAGTAAAAGAAGGAGGGAAGTTATAGCAAGGACAAGTAAAAAAAAAAAGGAAAAAAAAGAAAGAAAAAGGAAGCAGTGAGAAACATAACACATGAAAGCAAAACCTTAGCTGACCTGCAGAGGGCACCTTTTCAAGCAGCAGCACAACAGGTGAATGAGGGAGTGAGTTAGTGAGTGATGGAATGAATGAGTGACACACACACACAGAGACAGACGGCAGCCATCTTAACCCTTTCTTCTCTGGGTGTGCTCATACCTGCTTGTTGTTTTCTACGTCGTAACCCAGACTGATCAAACAAGCCTTGAACTCCTCAGCATGTAAGACACCACTGTGGTCCTGTGGTAAGCCAATCACGCAAGGGATGGACCAATCAGAGCATGCAGATTAGGATTGATGATACCGACACACAATGACATAACAGCATGTGTGGGATGGAGGCAGTGGCATGGCAAAAAAAAAAAGATGGAGACAAAACATTGTGGATGTGAGACACATGGGCTGATGGCTAAACAAGTCTAATGAAACATACTTATGACAGTTAGTGACCTGATTTCTTACGAATGTCAGACATAACATTCAGCTAATGATATTAGAGCCATTATGAAATCACTATAACAGTTTCTTTACTTTACCGTGACTAAATTTCTCCACTTTAACATAAAACCCCCTCATTACTTCACTTCCACTAGACTATATTTACACATTGCAAATATGTTATATTACAAACATTTCAGGTCAGAGGTGTTTGACGGGCAGTATAATTCAGATATTTTCCCTCCTATTAGTGCCAGAATAAGTGGAGAAAATGGAGCAAGTCTGACCAAAATTTTAAACTGAGGTCCATTTTTATCATGCATAAATCACCCTGAAATTAAACACAGCCATTCACCTTGAAATAAGCAACACTGACTTAATTTTCCATATTCTTCTTTATATGGACACTTTAATCCTCTGCAATGTTGTGTATTTTTAGTGGCCTGCAGCTCAGATCTCTTTGCTAACACGGTTAAAAACACAAACCCTATTTTTTAAGGAACAGTTCACTCAAAAATGATCTCAATCTTCTAATTTTAAAATGTATGACTTTCTTTGTTAAGTGGAAAACAAGATGTTAGACTCTCCATTCTCATCTACACTTGCACATATTCAATTTTGAAGCATTGTATCAGCAGTGATGCAAAATACCATTGGTTTTTATGGATCTTGTAACCAGTCCTGACATGAAACAAATGACAGTTTTTCCATGTTTGAGTGATCTATTCCTCTACAACACTAACCTTCTTCTTTCACCTAAATTAAGTGAAGTCCATTTCACACACAGTCAAACATGCAAATGAGTTCCTGACCTTGTCGAAGTGATTGAAGGATGTGCGGTACTCATGAAGCTGCTCCTGGCTGATGCCTTTAGCATCACGAGTCAGAATCTGGTTCTCGATCTCATTAATGGTGCGGGCAATTGTAGTAAGGAGTTGCTCCCAACCAACACGAAGGTGCTATAGAGGAGTAAAAGGCAATGGAAACACTGTCAAGTAACAACACAGCTAAACAAACTTTACACTAGAGGGGAACAGCATGTAGGAATTGTAAACACTTGACCTAAACAATACATCTATGGTTCCTGCATAGTTCCAATATGTGTGTATTGGCATATGCATACCTCCATAGTGTAAGCAGTGTATTTGTTGTCAAATATAAGTGCTTCCTGAATGAGCTGATGGTCTCCCTCCAGTTGGTCAATGTTGGGTTTGTATTCAATGATGCTCTGCTCATACTGACGGAGGTGGGTCAGCTGATCTTCCAGCGTTCCATTCATCTCAATTGATATCCGCCCAATCTCCTACAAATATCATGCCATGAGACAGATGAATCGTTCAATATTTTTCTTCTTTGAAAAATGATAAGATCATCAAGGTACAGAAATAGAGGCAACTATACCTCCATCTTATTTTGGATCCATGGTCCAATCATGTTGGCCTGGTTGGCAAACTGGCGTCTGAGATGGTCATTAGACTGCTGACGTGCGAGTTCTTCCTGAAGAGCCTGATCACGCTGTGGAACCAGTTGCTGCACCTTCACAAAGACACAAGATAACATCAATACTTGCGAACTCAACTAATTTGTAAACCTACACCTAGTGCTGGGTGGTATACCGGTTCATACCGAATACCGGTGTTTATTTTTGTTATGATATGAATTTTTAAAATACCGCAATACCAGTGTATGTCGCTTAAACAACGTTCGGAACGCGGCACTGTTTGAAAGGGGTTCCTTTTCACTGTTGCACTGTGGTGAGGGAACAGCTGTATGTGTTACTAAGCGTGAAAGTTCCGAAACTGAAGTTGTAGAACTAATAGAACGTGATGACACAGAAGAACTCATCCACAAT